TAAGACATGCCATTAAGACACGCATAAATTCAAAATAGATATTCGTATTACTATAAAATATAATTTTATATTATTTTATAAATTTAATCTATTTCATTAAAGAAAAGATAAATATTTATTATCAAAATAATAAAAATATTATATATATATATTGAAAAAAGAAACTGTAAACTTATCATATTAAAAAAATAAGAAGAACATGAATAATAGAATTTTGTGTTATCTTCTTTGTCTTTCAAATTATATAATATCTCCTGAATTAAAAATTATTCAATATACATACATACATACATATATGTATACTTATAATTACAAATTTCATTTCATAATATAAAAATAATAAATATAAAATAAATAAGAAAATATATAAAGAAAATATTATTTATATTACTATTTTTTCACTTTATTGATGATTCAGAAAAGATTAACAGTATTGAATATTATCAATAGATTTGCTAATAACAAATTAAAACTAGATTACCATAAGAAATAATAATTTTATCATCATTTGTTTTTTGTTTTGTTATCAAATTTATGCTAAAAATTTTGTTTCTGTTATATTTCTGCACAAATTTTATTATGTTTTTATTGCAATTATTGAATAACAATTTCTGACAAATTTATTTTTAGCATCACTTATATATATATAGCATCCTATAGAATTACTTATATTGCAGTCATTATGCTACCAGATTTTGTTATAACAATTTGGTATATAAATTCTGTATCAAAATTCTGTATCATCTGTTGTCTTTTTAATGACAAATTTTTGAAAAATCTGCTGAGAATATATATAACTGATTGAATCGCATTTAAAATTTAAGTTAATAAAATAAGATTCTGCTATCAATCTGACATAAGATGGTAGATTCTCATATACAAATTCTATTTGATTTCTCCTGTTAATTTATAATCATTTATATTATTATTTATATTATATATATATATAATATATTTATAATATATTTATATATATTTATATTTATTTATTTTTCACATAAAACGATTTCTATCTTTAACAGAATCTGTTATATTTCTAATGTCAGTCTGCTAACAGATATAACAGATCCTTCATATAAAATCTGCTTTTCTGAACAAATATTGACATCAAAATTTTAAAAAACTTACTGTTCGCAGATTTGATTAATTGGAATAAATAAGATAATAATTCAATATAAATAAAAAAATAAAATATAATAAATAATAATTGATATAAGCACATATTATAAAATGAAAATTTTTGTTTCAATTATTCTTTCCTCATAACTAAATTGCAAATTTTTATGTATTTATACAAAAATCAGAAATCTACAAAATTTACATAATATACAAAAAAAACACAAAATACTTAAAATATATTATGTATCATAATATTTGAAGTATGACATATCTATAAAGTTCATTTCTTTCAATTGTATTTGTAAAAATTGTGCATAAATCTACAATCATAACTATTAATACTTTACAAATTATCCATTTCTGCCATCATGGATATTGATTAACTTTAATAGAATTTCTTATTGATGTTATTGAAGATGACAATTTTAAAATTATTTCCAGCAGTAAATTTTTTCTAAAATATAAATATATTTTATAATATTAATCAATTAATAACAACTTAATAATAATCAATACTTACTTTTCAGTTAGTATGAATAATATCTGCTCAATGTAATCACACAATCCTTTATAATAATTAAAATCTATAAAAAAATATCTTTAATAAATTTATTAAAAAAACTTTTTCTATTATTTGCTATCATATTTTTAGTGAGAAAAAATAAATATATATAATTTAAATAAAAAATAAATATATACAATTTAGTTAATTTCTGGATTTGCAGATTGATCTGTAGATTAATATATTTCATATGTAGATATTGATAGTATCATATTCTTTATGATGTCTTTTAGGCTCTGAAGAAAATATATAAAGTGAATTAATTACTTTATTTTTTTACATTATATATATATTTATTTATTTCTGGTGTATGTGTTCATCTATACCTGTTTATCTATACATGTTTATCTATGATGTATTTGCTGTCGTGTGTAAATATGATATACTCACATAGAATTCATGTAGTATATCCATTTTGTATCCATTCTTGCTGTAAATTCCCACTGCCAATATCTTTATGTACTTTCTTTCGAAAAGAATTTTTGTTCGAGAAAATACTCATTTAAATAATAATTATACACTTCCTAATGATTATTTAAGTTAGAAATAAGTTAGAAAATCTAATAACTTCTTATAATATATATACATGACAGACAATGTTAGAATAATATAATATGTACTATGGAACAGTTCAGAAGTAATATAAATATTGCAAAAAGTAATACATATAATACTAAATATATTTTCTCAAATATCTCAAAAACTAAAATAATGATTACAAAATATTTATATATATATATATATATATATATAATTGAAATTTGCATTAGAATAAGATAGTTTTATTTTTTGTCACACAATCTTATATTATTTATAATTTAATAAATAAAAATCAATAAATATTTTTATATTTTTATATAATTGTATAAAAATTGTAACTTGTAACTTTATATTTATTTTGATGTTTAGAATCGATTCTATCTAAAGTGTTCTATGAATATATTAACATATAATATATATATAATTGAAATGTATAATTAAGGATATAAAAAATATTTTGTTTTTTTTGAAATCGATATTTCAAAACATAAACTTTGGAGTTCTATAAAATATCATGTATATTCTAGATATTGTTTATGTTATTATCATTTTAATAAAATATAAAATGAAATTATATTAAAATTTAATTACAAAAATAAAAAAATAACAAATTTGAAGAAAACAAAATGAAATATTGAACTATTGAAAACATTTTTTTATTAATTTTAAATTTTTAATAAATTTTTTGTGTATTAAATTTTGTGTATAATTTTTTTATAAATAATATATTGAAGATTTTTTTAAAATAATATGATGATATTTTTTTTTTGATGAATGACTTGAATGAATTGAACAAATTCATCATTGAACTTAATTTATCTAATTTATGTTATATATATTTATTTTAGTTTATTTTAATTTATTACCATATTAATTTTATGTATATTTTTATATTTTTTTATAATTTCTAAAAATATAGTAGTTTCAAGAGATAAGTATATCAAATTTTA